ACTTGGGCCCAAGGCTAATTTGGAGGCCCTGCACCCCCTTTGGCCTTGGTCACACACACTAATCTGCTTATGCCTTATAGACTGAATGCTTGTGTCCCTACCAAATTCATGTGTTGGAATCCTAACCCCTAATATGATGCTATCAGGAGGTGGGCCTGTGAAGGGGACCAGACATCTGTGAACCAGAAAACGGGCCCTCACCAGACACCCAGTCTGCCAGAGCCTTGATCTTGGACTTCCCATACTCCAGAACTGTGAGAAATGTGTGCTTGTTATTTAAGCCAGACAGCCTATGGTATTTTTGTTATAGCAGCCTGAGTGGCCCCAGACAGACCTGGTTACCATGGGCCGCCTCTGAGCCAGACACGGGAAACGCTCCCACGCATGCCAGGGCCACATGGCCCTTTGCGAGTTAAAATATTGTTCCTGGTTCTATATGAATAAGATGGGGAATTATTAGATGGGGAACAACCCTGGCAAGTTGTTTTATCCTTTCAGAATGGTTTGAGGGAGGGAGCATCAGTCAACCTCCTTTGAAAATCTGGACTGTTCTATTCTCATTGCGTTGGCTAGAGTGGAAGAGAAGCCAATCAATCGTAAACCCTCTATGGCTACCAACAGAAACTTTTGGTCTTAACTTGAAAAATCCTGAAGCCCTGTGCTGATGTTAAATATCACAGCTTCCTCTGCCTGTGCCCCGTTGTTCAGCAAGAGCGAACATTTTGCCAATTAGTGCCATGAATGCAGACTGCCAGTCCTGGGGCTCCCCACGGTGGATCTTGTAAAAGTTACTCATTACTGAGGCAAAGGAGATTCTGAATATTTAACACTCACGTGTGTGTGAAAATGATTTGGAGAGAGGGAATGAATGATCTGAGAACCCACGCTGCTTATGTTGCTAGCTCTTCACTTTGCCTGCAGGCTGAGCCCTGACCCCAGGTCCCGCTCTCCTCAATCCAGTCTCCTCCCAACCTGTGCCCACACTCTCACCTCCAATCTACTCTGGATACTGAGGTTGCCTTTTTAGACTAATGAGAACAAGAAGGACAAGTTTCCTTCAACTGGCAGTGACTTTGAATGGGAACCCCTGTGGCCATCTACTTAAAATGGGAGAGAGTGTTCTGTAAGATCAAGTCCACTTTATTGGATGAATTTTTTTTTTTTTTTTTTTTTTTTTTTTTTTTTTAGCAGTGCAAGGATGTTCTCTTTAATAAGAAGACCGACAAATCTTACACAGGGAGAAAGAGATTTGACATAGCAGTTTAAGGAGATGTCGTTAGCAAAAAAAACAAGCCAAGCAGAATAAGTGGCTTTTTCCAGAAAGCAGTAATTCCCCATCTATTTCTTTTCACAGCTCATTAATTCGCTAGGCATCAGAAAAAGGTGTTCCCAATTATCCTGCCACAGAAGATTGCTGGTGGATGGAAGTTGAAGCTCCACAGCACAGCCCAGAAATTGGTGATCTGAAGAGGTGGGGCTCTCCTTACTCCTGCCCCAGCTTAGGAGATGTCCTGGAGGTGGGTGCTATGCACGCTGATGGCCTCTCTGTATTTGCTTGGGAGCCACTTGGCTCACAGGCCCTGCCTATTATCATCTGTGGCCTTGAGCAAACGAATTAACCTCTCTTCTCTCATTGGTAACAAGGGGTTACTAAGAGCTTCTCTGTAGCATTTGAGAATTAAGTGCAGTCATCCAGGTGAGGTGCCTAACCCACTGCTGGGCACATAGTAGGTGCTCCGGAAAGGGCATAATGTGCAGATCTGTGTTCAGGGCATCTTAGGACACAAATGGCAACTTTTTTGTGTGTGTTTTTGTTTTCGGCAATTTCAGTACAAAAATTTCAAGTTGCTATGGCCCTCACGTGGGACACATGGTGGAGGCAGACTGCAAAGCAGGGCCTGGGGTAAGGGCTGTGAAAGAAGGTGCCCAGTTGTTGCAGGCGGTGAGCAAGGGGGGTTCTCCCCAGAGAGACACAGGCTTTTTCCTCCTCCAGCAAGGTCAACGGCTCAGGCCAGGATCTTAAAGCAGCAGAAGGAAATGACAGGATGTGGGTTCTGGTTGCCCAAAGGTGGCCTCTGAAGGCGGGGGTCACAGGCAACACCCATTCTACCTGGTCTGGAAACAAGGTCCTGGGCGATACTGTCAACCACTATCACGTGTCAGACTCACGGGGAGCTTACCTTCTTCTGAGTTCTCGGGGACTCCTCCCTTATAGGCGATGATTTCAGAGAGGGAGGTCTTGGAAGCTAAGACAGGAAGTTAGCTTCCAGCGCTTTCAGGGACTGACCTGTGAGATCCTGCTTTGGGATTTGGGAGATGTTGAAGCCCATGGGAGTTACCAGTGGGCTCACCTTATAGACTGGCTTAGCTCAGCTCTGTGACCCATCACAAGTGATGCGTGGGCTCAGAGTTCTGTAGCTCAGGGCTATGACCCACATATGACTGGTGTGTGATGGACGGAAATTCTGGCCCTCATCGGACTTTACACTTAGTGAGTGCATGTTTACACAAGAACTTCCAGAAAACTATCTGAAGGATGTTTCTAACTTCAGTTGTATCAACTGGACATGAAGAAGGATTTCCTTGGGATATGAAAGGCAGTCTTCCTGCATTTGAATTTTCATGAGAGAAAGCAGCTAATATGACTAATCGCAGTGCTGTGGGCTCTGACCTCTCAGGGAGCTGGGATGTACTGATCTCATCTGCTTCTCGGCTTCTATAGTTGGCGGGGACATGATAGGGCCCGGGTTCATGGAGGCTGCCGCAGAGTTTGAGAACTGAGGAGTGGCTTGCTGTCCCCATCCTTACTTATCTGCCTCACTGAGAAGCACTGATGGGTTTTGACTAAGGCCGGTTTTAGATCTGGCTGGGGGGTGGGGGGGGGGGAGGAAATAGTCCTGCTGTGCAAGCCGCAGGTCTGCCAGGCCCAGGGTGAGTGCTGACCCCCCACTGAGAGTTGCAGCTGTAGGTCCTCCCACCCCCCAAGGCATCCCTAGATTCCTGATAGCGTGTAGTTCCCCACCAGGGTGCTCAAGGCTGCCTGCTTCCTTTTCCAATGGGGGCAGGATTCCAGTGCATTCTCTATTCCCTCCGGACCTGCTTCCCCACAGAAAAATGCCTGGAATCAGGATTCAGCCCCATGCCCGGGGAAGGAAGGGCCCCGCTTGCTCCCTGTGTCCCTGAGCCTCCTCTCAAGATCCAGGTCCTCCTCTCCAAATCCACAGGCCCAAGCACAAGGATCCCCTTCCTCTGCGTATGGCAGCCCCACGAGAGGTAGTTTCCCATCTCAGGCTGCCTGTCTCCTCTTCTCACCAGCCTCTGGACCTAGAACACCCAGCCTGAGGTGATGTGGGCCTGAGATCCCAGAGCCATCCCCTTTGCTCTGCCTTAACCTCTGCCTCACTCAGGTGCTGTGCTCACTCCCAGGGAAGGTGCCTTGGAGCAAGCAGGTAAATGCTTCCATTATCAAAGGTAAGCTGAGAGCTGTGAAACTCATAATTCTGTGGCTCCATAATTCTGTGGCCAGGAAACATTTGCGACCTCTCTCCAGATCTAGGTCAGCTAATCAGGAGCCCGTTGGCCTCAACACATACCAGACGTGCCTCATTGACATGACAATGCACCCTGTCCGCTTGTCCTCTTGCTGGGCCTCCAGACCTTAAAAGAAAAGCCCTTGCAAGTTGTCCTCTTTAAGGCTCTTCTCTGCTCTCTTCTCTTTTCTCTCTTGAGGCTCACCGGCTCCCTGATTCCCCCACAGATTGCCCTCACCCGTTTCCACCCCTTCCCCCTTCTGAGGCCTCATGTGGACTCTCCCGGCCCAGTCTGTGGGGAGGAGGCCCAGGGGCTTCTTCTCAGCTGGGCCTGAAGGCCAGGTCACCCCAGGTGGGGGGGGGGAGCCCCCTCTCTGTGCCTCCCATCCACCTCCCCCCGGATAGGGGCGCTGAGCCCGAGTCAGAATATCTCTGCAGTGATTGGTGGGGATGCTTATTTTAAACATTTAATTCCTTGCCCCTCTGTTCTCCTCCCTGCTCCTGGTTTCTGTTCTGACTGGCTCATCTTGCCTTCGGAACCCCAGCTTTCTCCATGGATCACACCCCAGGCTGAGGCGGTGGACGAGAGCTACAGTGAAGGTTATCAGTACTTTGAGATTCTGGGGCCAAAAGTACCAGAAAAGAACGGGCTGCTAGGTTCTCCGTTGGGTGGGAGCAGCGGGCCACCCTGCGGTCGGGAATGGCGAGGACGCAGCTGACGACAGCTCTCCATGTGCTCAGGGGTGCACTGTGGCCCAAGCCACCTTCTGAGGGTCACTGTAAGGAGATCGGTTATCTGGTAGGCTACATGCGACGCGCAGAATACAGCAGGGAAGACGCACATGCTTCACAGATGATAAGAGACCATTAGGGCCCCGTCCTCCATGGCTCTCAGGCAGTGGACACTCGGCTGGGAGCTGACAGGGACTGCCCGCCTGACTCGCATGGACCTTGACACATGAGGTCTGCGAGCTCACCCTGGGACCAGGGGTGGCGCTTCCAGGTGGGCAGAATCTCTCCACGCAGAACCCACAGCAAGCCTCGGGGTGGTAGGAATGGGGTGGGGGACAGCCCTCTCCAGGTGTCAGCCCCTGAGGGGAGCTGCTGGTCGGTCTGTGAGACCCAAGCAGGGAGGTGACCCCGCCAGTGGGACGTGTGTGCAGAGACAGAGGCTGCCCTGTAACTCTCACTGTGGGGAACCCCATCCCAGCCTGGCCCTGAGCCGCACTGATGGAAGCTGGGAGCGGAGAGGCAGGGCTGCCTCAGGCGCCCAGGCGCGGTGCCACCTGCTCAGGGAGGCCTGAGCTGGGAGATTCCAGGAAGGGATATACTGTTCCTCCCCACAGAGCCTGGATGGCTCCTGGGCCCCCCAACAGCGCACTCAGCTCCTTCACCCCTCCTCCCCCTGGCTCTGCAGCAGGTGCTGTGCTCAGAGGCCAGGGAGGGGAGGTTGGGGGGCAAGTACAGTCCTCACACGGAGCCCCTGTTCTCCCGGGACTCACTCAGCCCCTCAGGCTCATCCTCTCCCTCTTGCTCGGCCTCTGTTTCAGCACAGCCCCCCGGCAGGGGCGGGCTCGGGAGGTACTGGAGGAGCCGGCCTTCCCGCTGCATTTCGGCCAGCTCCTTGGCACAGCAGCTGGGCGTGTTGGTCTCGTACGTGTCATGGAAGGTGTTGTAGTCCACCTCGTAGAAACCCTTTTCCAACGTGAGGACTGGTGTGAATCGGTGGCCCCAGAGCACCTCGGTATCCATGTAGGAGCTCCGTGCTTGGCAAGTCATGCCTGTGGGGACAGAGGGCACAGGGGTTAGGTGTGGCCACCGCTAGCCATCCATCATCCACCCATCCATCCATCAGCCAGCCAACCAGCATTTGTTGTACCTCTGCTTGGGCTAAGCACCCTGGAGGTGTAGAGCTGAATAAGACAGTCCTTGCCCTGGAGGAGTTCAAGGTATGCTAGAGGCAGAACGTTAGAAACTAACATGTGAGATTCTGGGGTAGGTTCCTAGAGACTGGAGTGGATAATTCTGGAATAGCTAGAGCCAGGGACGTGGTTCCTGAGAAGAGCATTAAGGTCTCAAAGATTGAGACACAAAAGAGGCAGGAAAAGGGTTTGAACAAAGATAAATTAGGGCGCCTGGGTGGCTCAGTTGGTTGAGCGGCTGCCTTCGGCTCAGGTCATGATCCTGGAGTCCCAAGATCGAGTCCCGCTTCGGGCTCCCCGCTCATCAGGGAGTCTGCTTCTCCCTCTGCCCCTTCCCCCTCTTGGGTGCTCTCTCTCATTCTCGCCTTCTCAAATAACAAAATCTTAAAAAAAAAGTTTAAAATAAAAAAAATTAAAAAAAAGAAATTCAGATGGAGTGAATGTAAAGAAGCTGACCATCTTGTAGGGCACGCAGGGATTGTTTGGGGTAGACACATATGGGCAGAAGCCTCTCTCTCTCTCTCTCTCTCTCTCTCTCTCTCTCTCTTTCTCGCACACACACACACACCCCTTGGCTCCTTGATTGCAGCATGCTCCAAAGCCTCCATTCCCTGTCTCCTCAGCCCTTGCTTGCCTATGTTATTTTTAGGTGTTGCTTTCTCTCCAGGGAGGAAGGCAGCTTTGTTTATGGATGAAGAAGCCTCTGTGCTTGGGGTCACAGGAAAACAGCTTGCTGATATTTAATCTTCTGGCCAAGGAAGGTACTGGCGTGTGCTCTCGGGAACGAAGGAGAAGCTGGCTCCAGCTTCCCAGGATGGGCTTTCTCTGGGGCCTTGTGCACACCAGACCCGAGTGCAAGGCTGCTTCCCACCCATTTGTGCTCCGGTGCTGGGCACCCCCGAGGTGCCCTCCACACTGTGGGCTTGCAGCCTGCTCTCCGCTCCCTGGGTCTGGCCTGGGCCAGGCCTTTCCATGCAGTCCTCCCCAGTCACGTCTCAGCAGAGGCCCCGAGCTGGGCATTGAGCAGCCTAGACCCCGACCAGGTGTCTACAGGCTTGGGGGCCTCAGGAAAGACAGCGGGACAGGACCCCCACGGTAACCTGTGGGACACATCTCCTGGAGGCTTTCCTGATTTGTTTTACCCCTTGGGATGTAGCAATGGACCCCCTGTATCGAGAGACCCTACCTATGTCCCTGGCACTCATCTTCCCATGCATTTGGGAAGGAAAGAAGCCCCTCTGGGTGCCAGGCACCGTGCTTTACGTATGATACTCCATCAAATCGTCCAATCTCCCCAACGACCCCATGAGTTGTATTATGCTCATTTTGCTGACGAGTTAAGCAACTTGCCCAGACACACACAGGCAGGCTATGGCAGGGCTGTGCCCGTCCAAACTCGGCCTGAATCAACAGCGCATGCTCTGCTCTGTAATGTGGCCATCAAGCCACCACAGTCGCCGAGATGAGAACAGATGTGGGTGAGGGTTCTCCTTCCCTTGTCTTCCGGGGGCCCCCTGTACTCATGGGAAGAGAGGAGGTCAACTAGACAGGGCAGGTCATCTGGGCACCACTGACATTGAAGGATACTCAGGGGAAGGACCAGTTCAGCTGGGTCACCACCTGATCCCTCCACGGTAGGTGGCAGTAAAGGCACGGGGGGACTGTAAGGCACAACTCTCCTGTTTGTCCCCACATCTCTGACCTGACCCCTCCTTTGTGGCCTCAGAGTGGTGCTCTTCCCCCAGAAACTCAGCCGGTGTTCTGCTCCCGAGCCCAGCACCAAGGGCAGCATGACCTGTGAGCCCCCAGCTCTGCTGCAGGCTTCCTGCATCCTGGCTGTCCTTGGCCCCAGGGGCTCCCTCGGCTGCCACCATATGCTGCCTGGCCAGGCTCCAGCTCCCAGCAGATGGCCGAGCAGCCCCCTCCGTGCCAGTCCCCGGAGCCAATTCGCACCCCCAGCCAGGTCCCACGGGCTCCGGCCACATGAGAAGGTGTGTGGATGCCCCATCTGAGTTTCCTGCACAGCAACCAGCTTCCCGAAAGGTAAGGAAGGCTTGTTTGGCCATCTTTGTGACTGGCCCCTGAAATTTCAACACTTAAGATTCGTAAGTGAAAGACCTGAATCAAACACCATCTGCATGAAGTGCTGGGTGATGCAGCATCTACGTCTGTTAAATGGGATTGGCGTGGTCTCCAGTGTTCCTGCAGGAATTGGAAAAATGCGTATCATTCTGAGCCTGAGTGAGTTTTCTACAAGTGCTCAGTCACCGGGTGACAAGAAGAGAGGGAAAGAGGAAGAAAGGCAGTAAGAAGCAGGGTGCAGGGATCTGCGGGAGGGCTCCTCTCCCCAGGAGTTCAGGCAGGAGTGGTGGGACCGGGGTCTTGTGCTCCGCTGGCCTCGGGCTCCCTGGAGCCCTGCACCGAGGCCTTGGCCTTGAGGAATGGTGGAAGTTCCTGGCTGCCGGGTGCCCGTGAGAGTTGGCAGCTGAGGAGGGAGGTGCCGGGCTGGCCACGAAGAGGGCATCTTGCTTGGGCCTATGTGGATGCAGATGGACTGGTTTCGGCTCGTCCCCTGTTCACTCAGCCAGCCTTCCACAGGAAAGCTCAGGGACAGCCTTCCTGTGGGGGGCGGGGGGGGGAGGGAGGCAGCCAGAAGAGCTGCCCTCACAGGTCTGGGGTATAGACACCTCTTCAAAAGGAGGATTCTGTGACTTTGGGAAGCTTTGTGTTTGGGAAATCACAGAGTGATTCATGGCATGTAGAGACACCACAAAGTCCTACTGTGAAGAAGCCTGTGCACTCTGTTTCACTGTATTTCTCCAAGTCACCTGATCACAGGACTCTTTTTGGGTAAACACATGCCCCGGGATGTGGTAGAGCAAGATAGCCTGTTGAAAACAAAGGCCAGCTTTGAGGTCCCCTGCCTTCCCAGGCATCCCGGCTCTATGACTTGCTCTTGGACGAAACTAGACTGATAACTTGCCTGTCTGTGCCTCTGTTTCTTTTTCTGTAACCTAAGGAACATCATCTTACAGGGGTTGGGAAGGCATTAAGTGCAATACCATATGTTTAAAGTTTAGAAGTATGTCCAGAAGTTAGAGCGTTCAGTAAACATTAGCTGTTGTTATCACTGCATCTTGATTGAATGACAACACCCCTCAGATCACAGTTAGAGATTGGGCCGGCTGAGAATCCCAGGATTCTCAGGCACCAACTGCCGTCTTCTAGCCCTGGTGGCCTAGGTTCCCAGCACATGGGAGGGTCCTGTGGCCAAGGAAGATAAAGTGTCTTACCTGTTGCCTCCACCATCCCTTCTAGAATGACCACGACTTCAAACTCCTCCTGATCCAGCTGGGCCCGGGACATCTCCCAGAAAGGGCTCTTCTCGTTGATCTCATGGGAGATGATGAGTGGAGACACCAGGAAGAGACGGTCATCACCAGTGTCGAAGCCCACGTTGATGTCCGTCTGGTTCAGGGGGATGAACTCTCCTTCTTTGGTCTGCCGGGACTTGATGAGCTTGGCACGAATGGAGGCCTCCACAATGTGGGAGTTACGAAGGTCACCCACCCGGAACATGAGGCAGAGTTTCTCGTCCCTCATGGAGATGACTGCATTGTTGGAAAACATGAGGGTCTCTGCTCTCTTCTTTGGCTGACTGATCTTGACAAACATGCACCCCACCATGAAGGCATTGACGATGGAGCCGAGGATGGCCTGGACCAAGAGAAGTATGATCCCCTCCGGACACTTCTCTGTGATCACCCGAAAGCCATACCCGATGGTGGTCTCTGTCTCAATGGAGAACAGGAAGGCAGACACAAAGCCACTGAGGTTTTCAACACAAGGAATCCACTCTTGGTCACCAACATGGTCCAGATCACCCCGGATGTAAGCGATCAGCCACCAAATGAAACCGAAGAACAGCCAAGTGATGGTATAGACCATGGTGAAGACAAGCAGGTTGAAGCGCCATTTGAGGTCCACAAGGGTGGTGAAGAGATCGCTCAGGTATCGGTAGGTTTCTTGGACGTTGCCATGGTGGACGTTGCACTTGCCACTCTTTTCCATGTAGCGCTGGCGGGGCTTCTTGCCTTCTGCTAGCAGGCGAGTACGGTCGGTGGCAATGGGGATGTAATCGCGGGCCTGTTTGGGGATCTTCTTCGGGTCCCTGGGAGTGACCCCAATCTCCATATCCTGGTTCATAGCATTCCTAGAATCGCCAGCCATAGCTGGGATGCGTGAGTTAAAAAAGACATCATCAGAGAAGGGGGCTGTGCTGATTCATAGAAACACAAGATTTCAAGGTCACTCCTGCCTCTGTGCTCTCAAGGGTCCTCATCTAGTGCACAGTGGAGCCTACTGCAGAGTCCTCAAGGGCAGAGACCATTTTTTTTTAATATTATTTGCTTGTATCCCTGGTATCTCCTACAGATTCTAGCATATAACAGCAGCTCAATAGTTGTTTGTTGAATGAATAAATATGTAGGTGCAAACCACACATGGTGTTGAAAGGATTTAAGAAATCTGGGAGCAATTAAGAAAATAATAATCGCAACAATTTATTAAGTGCCTGCTCTAGTCCACACAGTACACCCAGACTGTCACTTGTTATCACAGCAACTGGTCAGAGTTGGAGCTTGATCTCCCGTATGTAAACACTGATTGCATATGCATCATATTTATTTCTCAGAGTCTCTCCCCCTCCATTAGAATGTAACCTCCACGGGGCACAGGTATGTCTGTTTTGTTCCCTCATACATTCCAAATACCCAGAGGGTAGCCCAGAACATACTGTATACTCCAAAAGCACTTGTTGAATAAATGAATGAATAAATAAAAAAATAAATAAGAGCCCCCAAAAGGTAAGTGGTTAAGTGATAACCTGGGCCACCAAACACTTACCTGGCAGAGTGGATATCTGGATTCCTGCTCACAGGGCCCAGAGCCTGTGCTTTCTTCTTTATATCTCCCTGTCTCCTTTCTTTATGTCTCAGATCTTAGCAGCAGACAGAAAGGAAAAGGCAGTGAGTGTCTGATTCACCATGTGGTCACTCCTACCATCTGAGGGGGGGAGTCTGTGGCTGTCTGAGCACTTACGAATATGACAAATCGTTGTGTAGACCCACCATTAAAAATCTTGACACAGTAATTCCCTGCCTTCTAAAAACCTGAAATGGACAAGATATTAATGCCCCTAAGGTTTTCAAAAGGCCTATAAACTTATATGTGAAATCAAAAACAAACAAATGAAAGCCAAACTCACAGATACGGAGAACAGATTGGTGGTTGCCAGGGAGAGGTTGTACAGGGCGAGTGAAATGGGTAAGGTGGTCACGAGGTACAAACTTCTAGTTGCAAATGAAGTCCTGGGGATGTGATGTATAGCGTGGCTATTATAGTTAATGATCCTGTGCTGTATATCTGAAAGAAGCCGAGAGAGTAGATCTTCAAGTCTTCATCACAAAAAAAAATTGTAATTATATATGGTGCCGAATGTGAACTAAACTAATCGTGGTGATCATTTCCCAAAATATACATATATCAAGTCATTATGTTATACCCCTTAAACTAATACAGCATTACATGTCTGTTATCTCAATAAAATATCTGAATAAAAAATTACTTTTCAAAAAGGCTGTACCATGTTTTGGAGTATATGCCCCACTTTAAAGAAACACCCAGACACCTGCATTGGTCCACTGTTTTTCTGATATTCCGCTCACTCCCACTGAAAATACTTTTAAGACTCTGATGCGGCTAGGAAAGACCATGAGAATCTCCACAGCTAATAATCACAGCTTAAATTTCTGAGCGTTCACAAGCCAGGCACTGTGCTGAGAAATTTATATCCATTAGCTCATTTATAATCCTCACAATAAAGTTATTAAAGAAGAACTGCTATTATCCCTCTAATCTTCAGGCAGAGACAATGAAGCTCAAGTAGTTAAGTGGCTGAGTTAGGGTTTGAATCTAGGTTCATCTGCTCCAGCCTGGGGTCTCACAGTACCCACCATACAGTGGCTTGCAGACATTGATGTTCTGTGGCTCCTGCTTAGACTGATGAGCTGCTTGCTCCAGAAAGTTCTATGAGCTTCTGATCCTGGGGGAATTCACCTCAGGGGATGCTATTACTCAGCCCTTCATCTTTACAAGCAAGCTTGTTTCGATTTCACAGGTAGTCCCACTCCTGGGAAACAGTGAACCTGATAGAACAACCTGGCTGAATGTTCTATAAGCCATGAAGGAAGATTTCCCCCAATGTGGAAAGTCAGAAGACCCTGGCAGACCTTTTTCTTTGCTACCTTGGTGGTTGTGGCAATTTCAAGGTAATTTTTAAAATATCATATTGAAGGGTCATCCGAAGGGCTGTTTGTCTCAGATGTCTGTTGGCCATTTCCCATTCTGCACAGGGCCACCTGCTCCCCGCTCCGTCACATGGGCAGTTACAAAGATAAATGAAATGAGGAGCTGGATGCTTGATGTTGCTTTGCAGAATCCTAAGCATGATTTTGCTCTGCCCCTAGGTCAGAGACTGTTTACGGAGAACTCAGGGATGCCCAGAAAAGGTGAAAAATGCTGTTACTCCCAATGCCCTGGGGGCTCCTGGGGAGCCCAGCTATTGGAACCCAGATAGGGGTCTGATCGGAGGGCTGCCCATGGACTCCTCAAGCCACTGGTGTTGGGCAGGGCAGGCCCAGTGCTGGCCAGAATGAGTCACTGTTTAGGGCACCTGGCAAAGCACATTCTCCTGCCTTCAGATCTTCCAGAGAAATAGCTTTTCTGCTGATTTCCTTTTTCCTTTTTTTTAAAAAAATATTTATTTATTTATTTATTTGAGAGAGAGAGAGCACCTGAGAGGGGGTAGGGTCAGAGGGAGAAGCAGACTCCCCGCCGAGCAGGGAACCCAATGTGGGACTCATCCAGGGACTCCAGGATCATGACCTGAGCCGAAGGCAGTCGCTCAACCAACTGAGCCACCCAGGCGCCCTCTGCTGATTTTCTGCACTGTTTCCTTCTTTATTTTTTGAATATACTTTCGTATGTTCTTGTAGGAGAAAGCCTTGCACTGTACTAGAAACAGAGAAAGGTTTTCTAGGACACCTCAAGCAAGACCTGAGGAATTTTTTTTGTGTCCAGCGGACAGGGAAAGGGGTCACTTCTGATTTGAGATTGGCATCCATCCTCCAAGTGTGCTAGAATCCTCGGCAGAAGTTTTTCCTCGCTCAGCCCAGGGCGAGATTTGGGTTCTAGGATCAGCTTCCAAGAAACGTGTTCTGTGACCCAAGGAAAAACCATCTTCATTTTCTTTGCCTCAAACTGCTATAAACCCCAGATAATATTTTCTGCCATTCCAGCTCTGGGGGCAATTATGAGGATCTAGGGAAAGACTACATGAATACAAACATGAATATAATATAAATGTAAATATATATTCATAAACACCCCTTGATGTGAAATTTAATGCAATGCCCCATTAACCCCCATTTTAAGGATGAAGAAAGAGACATAGAGCATCTAAGTCAAGTATCAAAAGCCCCAGTGGGCCTCTTGCAGGGCAGGCATCAAGCTGACCGGTGTAGAACCTCTCCTCCCCAGATTTCTTCCTAAGAGTAAGTGAAATGCCCACTCTAGAAATCTTGGCCTCCAGTGCTGTGGGCCCATAACATCAAAAGAATTTTCAGGGACAATGGAGATGAGCTTTTGAATCAGATTTTCAAGATCTATTCTATTCATTTATGCACCTATATTCAGCAAGCATTAGTTGAGGAACTGCGATCGTCCAGCTTCTGTGCTAAGAGCTGGAGATTAAGCAGTGAATAAGCTGAATGCAGACCCAGCCTTCGTGTAGTTTATAGTCTAGCACCGCCCCCTCTGAGCCCAGGGGTCTGAGCAGAACTGCCTGTGGAGAGAGAGGCCGTGGGGAAAGGCTTTGGGCTGGAGGAGGCAAAGTGAGTATGAGAGCTTCTCCCCGCAGGACCCGGGGAAGGCACCGACAGGAGCAAATCCCACTCAAGCTCATCAAGCCTGGTGTAGCTGTTCATCTGGAACCCTCTCCTGTGTCTGAGGATAGGAAGCTGTGCCCGGACATGATTAAAACTCTTGGGAAGACAGAGCCTGAAGTCCAGCAAAGTGGTTTAAATTCTTTGATATAGAAACACAAATGGAGAAAGAATCAAAAGAAGCAAAATCAAAGGAAGTTGTATTTTAGGTGATGCACGAGTGAATCTGACATCCTTTTAAGTGGACCTCTGTGTGAAGAATTCCCAAACACCCCCGCCACACACACACAGTAAAGAAAGCCCTGTGTCATGGGGGGGGCTTTTTCTAGAAAGTCAGGAGCCGTGGAGGCAACATCTTGATAGAAACTGCATTTGGAAATCAGCAGGGGTTTCCGGAAGGGGGCCCTGGGGGGGGGTCCTTTTTTTTTTTTTTTTTTTTTGAGAGAGAGAGAGAAACTGCAAGGGGTTGGGAGAGGAGGGGCAGAAGGAGAGGGAAAGAGAGAATCTTAAGCAGGCTCCACGTTCAACGCCCAGCACAGAGCCAGATGTGGGGCTTGACCTCACGCCCCTGAGATCATAACTTGAGCCGAAATCAAGAGTTGGATGCTTAACCGACTGAGCCACTCAGGGTGGCTTGGGAGTCTTGTTTCAGACTCAGTTTCCCTACTGTGAAAATGAAGACAGCAGACATCCTTAACGATTTCTTCCTTTCTCTCTTATATTTGCTGGGTCAAAGTCTGCTTCCCAGAGTTTTGGGATATGGGATGAGGTTGGAAGAAGGGTAGTGGAGGAGAATATACTCCTGTCTCAGACTAGATGTTTGTATGCTGTTCTACAGGAATCTATATGGCTGTACTGGTTGTTAAAATATGAAAACACTCCATGGTGGTTGCCCCAGTGCCCTCAAGGACCTTCAAGATTAGCAGGAAGTATTAAAGGTGTTATCAAGGGTGTATGTGCCAGGTATAGAGAAGGCACACACAGGGAGGCAGAACTCTAAGATGCCTTCACGTTTCCTGCCCCCTGAAACAAACTCCCTGTATATGCCCCTGGACCCGGGGATGGGATACTCACTCCCATGATGAGCCTATGTCACGGCACAGCTGACTTGAAGAAAGGGAGACCTTCTGGGGTGAGCCGGACCTAATCAGATAAGCCCGGAAAGGGAGTGGGCTTTCCTTGAAGTAGGAGAAGCTCCTTGCTAGCTGTGGAGATGGACAGGGACAT